TATCCCATCCCATCCCATCCCACCCCATCCTAACCTATCCTATCCTATCCTAACCCATCCCATCCCATCCTATCCTATCGTATCCTATCTCATTCCATCCTAACCTATCGTATCCTAGCGTAGCCTATCCTATCTTATCCCATTCCATCCCATCCCATCCCATCCCATCCTATCCCATCCTAACCTATCCTATCCTAGCCTAGCCTATCCTATCCTATCCTATCCTATACTAACCTATTCTATCATACCGAGTACTGTCTTATTTTTCCCTGTTTTATACTATGCTGTTCCTTCAGGTCCTTTCCTTTTGACTTCCCTTTTTCAATCCGATCGTAATACTAGTTCCATTCACCTTGAATCCTCTCCACATCTCCACTCGTTTTTTTTTTTTGGTTTTTTTTGTTTTTCTCGTTTTTGTTTTTTGTTTGTTTCTGTATAAGTTACTATAACGCAAGATAACAATAGTTCTTACCACCTTGCCCGATATTTTTTGTTGGATATAGAGGGAACGGGAGCGCATCACAGCGTTGTAACCGCGTTCAAAATGGCGTCGGGAGGCGTACATGTCGAGTAATAAAATTAAACAAGCGACCAAAACTCTGAACAGAAGGCAAAGGGGTATATAACAAAGTTTATTACAGTCGTTCTCGTGGAAAACGTGCTTTAGTCGACAGCTGGATACTACACCTGTGGGGAGGGGGGATTGGGGTAATACTGGGCACGTGAAGTGTTTTCTATTAACGGCCATAATTTCAAAGATTTTAAGTAAAAGCAGCCACAAATTCTAGGTTTTAAACGTATCTAACTAGTAATAATCATGGATTAGCTGAGTGCGTTCGAGTCAGTACAGTTAAAAGTATTGGATACTGCCAGGATAATTATATTGTCACACCACGTTCCTGGTTTTGACATTTGCTGTGTGTAATTTTGGCCAGTATCATCCACCATACTCTGAACATAATGTTCTGTAGTCATTCCAGCCATGTGAATTTGCAAGTGCAAATCTGCAGTTTTATAGGGCTGATGTGAAACAGACTTAAAGAAAACAATCACCACCGCCGGTACCACGAACATCCTACGGGATTTAAGGCTTTCACTTAGGCTTTCACTTAAGTCTCCATTAACACCTCCAGGAAAAAAATCTCCTTTTGAACAATTATTGCAATAATTTCCAGAATACATCTAATATTTGCATGGAATCTATCACTGAGCTACATAGATTTTCGGAATAAATATTACTCTTGAAACCCAATTTATGTTTGCATGCTGATTTTCATGACCAACTCATATTTTGATAGTGTTCACTTCTACACCAAAAGGACACTTTATTGAAATTCTTACACAAATTCATGATAAATGAGGTGTTTGGCACACTATTCTTAATCTGGTATTTTAAATTGGCACACACAGGATCATGATCGCTTATTTAAAGTTGAATAAATGAAGTGCCAAAATATTAAAAAAATATCAACAAAAAAAACTCAACCTGATGTGTAAAACTGATAAGAAAACAAGAAATGAAATGAAATTTTCGCAGACGTGCTTCGCTTCACGTCAGCATGTTCAAATTAATTCTTCACGCTAAAGCGAAAGCTTGGTTTATGCGGAAAACTTCTCCAAATTTTACAGTCATTTTATCGACCGTGGCGTTACCAATCGTTCCAAAAGTTGAATTCAACTTCGAACTAATACATTACTATTGCTATTTTTGTTTTCTAAAGTCCTGGAAACTGCTTAAAATCCGTGATCGATATTCAAAACTTACTTGAAAGTGTACAACCGATCGTCACGGTTCGAGGACTCTGTACTCGTTGATCTTCCATTCTGAGACCACCTGAACATTGACCACCTGAGCATTTTTCCTTTCTATTTTAAATCTCAAAGCAGTAAGTTCTCCATGATAGGAATGAAACAAGACCTTTGAAGTTTATAGATTTGACCCGCAACGCGCCATTATTATTACCTACCAATTCCCGGCGGCCAATAAAAACAATTTTACAAGAGATCGAGGCCATTTGTGACAGGCAGCCAGCCAGTCCAAGATGGCGTCCAAACCCTGAAATCATCTGGCACCGCGGAAAATCGCGGGACATAAACCCGCGGTAATGACCCGATTAGTATGCGTTCTCCTATCGCCGAACGCAAATATGCTCCCAAAAGAACCTCTAACATTTTCCCAATATAAATAAAATTAAAGATAGTGCAGTGATTTTAAACTAAAGTTGCCGGAAACTTGAGTCTTGAAAAATTAGAGTTTTAAAAACATTTTTGTTGTGTCATAGAATGGAAACAGTTTCTTGTCAACTTCAAGATATGCACAGGGAGACAATTAGTCAGAACAAGGCTCTTAAAAACCAGCTTGACAAACTAGAAGAAGATGTTAAGAAACTCAGAGAACCTGACAAGCCAAGGTCAAGACTTGCATCTATCGCAGACGTTCCGGAACTCAAAGGTACAATCATCAGCTAGCCAGCTTATTCCTGGAAATATTGACGTGTAGAACGTACTGTCTTTTTCTTTTTAATGTGAACGTATACGAGACGACATTTAATAAAGGCGAACAAAAAAAATGAAGTCGCAAAAAAATTGTGGACCATTTAGAACAGAAATTAACTACTGCATCTTTGCAAATTCAACGCTTGTAGTGACTTTTATTATTGATAAATCGCCAATCTCATTTCAACTCCTTGTGCTGATTTCAATTTAACTCTAAAGAATTTCCTACATACTAAAGAGCCACTTTGGTTGTCGAGACACAGCGCTATGTTCTATCCGCTCCAGTCAGAGCATCAGAGCATAAACAGCAACGTGGCTTTTATTTCCTGTAACCAAACGAGGTTTTTCTGGGAATAGGAGGTAAGCCCATTGCCTAGCCTGCACACAACTCTAAGATGTGTGGCATCACTTCGAGAACTACTTATTCTACTATTTGAGAAGAGTTTGTGGGCTGATTTTTGTTCCCCTTTAGATTTATGTGCGGAGGTAAAAGAGACAACGCCAACGGCTTAACGTTAGTACCCAATCGCCCGATTATCTAAACTGAAGCAGATGCTTGAACACGGAGTCAGCATGATCTTACTAGTTACTTAAAAACCCTGGCTTGTGGTTCGGCTGAGGATCTGAACCTCCCGCCCAGCAGTTCCGCACTATTCTGAGCGGTAGTTTAGAGACATATGCACAATTACATCAAGCGATATATCAGAAAAGCGTAGCCGAAGGCGAAACAAATCTAATCCAGTGAACATATTTTTTATCATCGCAGAGCCAGACTCCAGGCGAAAACGTTCTTCACTTTTCGTTGAGGACTCAACCACCAGCAACAGTGGCCTGATGAATTCAGTTTCAGACACCGAGTATAGTTCGTCCGGTATGTGCCATACAGTTTAGGTTCGTTCTTTGAGTTAATTAACAACAGTTGTATTTAATGATTACGACATGACATGGAGTGCCTGCGGCTCGTGATTTACGAATTCTTCGAGTGTTCTTCCAACATCCCAAGTGGTTTATCAGCCTATAAACCATAAAAACTTCTGGTCTATTGCTTAACTACTTATTATATGGTTCTGTCTCACAAGGACTGGGAACTACCAAATTCACGAATTTGATTGGCTGAAATCGATATTGAAAGCAGTCTAGATTTTCCCAGCTTGACCGGCGTCTAGGGCGGTAATGTTCTGCAGTGAAAAAGTTGCAAACTAAAAGGCAAAATCATTGACTATTTTCACCTAAGATTTTCCCATCTTGACCGACGTCTAGAGCGGTAATGTTTTGCAGTGAAAAAAGTTGCAAACTAAAAGGCAAAATCATTGACTATTTTCACCTAACAATGTTTATTTATAGAAGTGCCAAAAAGCCTACTGAGAAAAAAAGGTAAAGAGGACAAGCAAACTTTGGCAGAATTAAATTCAGTTCATCGCCTGTTCGCAATCAAAATGTCAGTTAGTACAAACCAGTTACATTAACCGAATTAGATTGTTCTCGTTTGCGTCATATAATAACCGAGTTTAGTCGGTCCGTATAGGAGAAATCTTGACCTTGGTCGCGCTTACAGACCTCACTGCGTTCGGTCTGTACTCACGACCTCGGTCAAGATTCTCCCATACAGACCTCCTGCTCGGTTAGTAAAAGCTAGTTTCAGTATAGGAGAGGACAATATTTCTTCAGTTTAAAAGAACCGCAATCGACCGTTCTTTTAAAACAGAATTACGCCATTCTCCTACCTCTCGGCGTGCAATGAAAACCGCTAGCACGGATGCATCACTTGACAAAGCTACGCACCTGCGAGCAAGACAATCGCCATATCCAAAGAGTAATCAACGGCGTCACCATGTTCCGGACTCCCTTATTGACTGGAAGGTATGTAAAGTTGCTAGGGATAAATATAATAATCAGTTTCCGGAAATGTTTACTCTAAATCTTAGGAAGAATAACATTCTGACTTGGGACGTGACAGACCCCGGATCACCTTCTCGTTCGTTCCAGGGTGCGTGGCAGCAGAACGAGTAAAGTCATAAACGGTGGCTCTGCCACTGAATCCCTGATCGACTGGTCCCAGTGGAATGCTGCATCCCTTCAAGTCCAAAGGCAAATCCCGTACTCCGCCCGAAAAAGTTTTGCATTCTTTGATATTGTGTCAGCTGCGGGTTGTTGTTGTTGTTGTTATGTCTTTTTTTAACTCTAAAAAGCTACCAGCTCAATGATTATTAACATTTTCTGTCTCTCTCTGAAGGAGTCGTTCCCAAGCTACGATCCACCACAGTACACCGCACCGGAAGTTCAAGCCCTGCAGCCATGTACAGGCGTGAGAAAGTAAGAAAGCAATCGCGCTTATATCTAATTAATGGGTAGCAAGGAAACTCAGTGTTAAAACGCATGCGTCACCTAACGTTATATCCGTTTTTGAAGGTCTTCAGATATTCATGGTCTCAAGTATTGGGCAAATATTTTATAAAACATTTGAAGAGTGTAGAACTCTGGCTCATCAACTTACATTTCCTTGGAAATGCACTGCTATCAGCCACTAGGAAACAAAGAAAAATTTCAAGTTAAGTCAAGAACTCAAAGAGATGGCTAAGTACAGGCATGTCTGGCGCCTATCTCTCTAAGCTCGTATCAACAAACTGCAAGAACAATAGCTGGTTTTCACATGACGTCACTAAAATTCGAACTACAAAACTATTGAACTTCCTGAGATTTTACTTTAATGATGTCTACGAGCAGCTGAAAACTAATATTCATACAAATTTTCGCTTCGAATGGGTTCTTGGTTTTGTGATACCGTACGCTTGAATTTCTAAGCTTTTGCGTGACGCGGCATTTACATGACGGCCTAGAGAGCTGTCATGATGGTTAAAAAAAGTAACTTATTTCGGGGAACTTGGCTATCTGAACAGTTCATGTCTTAGAAAAAGTATTAGTTTAATGTTTTAGAGTTCCTCGAGGGATAAATTC